GAAGGAAATATAAGTATAGTAATATTATATAGAAACTAAGAAAAATATTACAATAACTTTGCGTCCATTGATTATTTTTTTTAATTTCACGATGATACTTTTATAATCACATGTTTCTTTTTCCTTTGTTTTTCTTCTTCTTCTTCTTTTTTTTTCTTTTCTTTTTTTTTGAGAGAGAGTATAATTATAAGAACGATCCCTCTATGAGAATCTAGCTGTTTACGTTTATCTAAATAAACAGCGGAAGTAGCCATGACTAACTTTTTTCTCCCACGCATAAAAAGTTCCTCGTAAAAGTCTTGCACGTTGAGAAGTTAATACCCTTTTCCTAAGGGTGATGGTAATAGAGGATCACCGTTTGCGACCACGAGGAAAGTTAAAAGCGTTCGTAATTATATGCATTTCACAGGTGCACCTGGTGGTATTCGCGTATATGTTTCCGGTATTAAATCGTATTATTCAGGTTATTTCATGGAATAACTAGACAATACGTGGAAAAAAATTTTTTTTTTATCGTACACTTAAATTAATCGTTTTATGAAATAATTACAATTCGTCTCTAAAGTCTGCTTATATTCATTTTTTTTTATCTTTCGTTTTGTAACTTTTTGAAATACCAAATGTTATTTTTTTAATCGTACTATTCGGATCTAATCTACGACTCAAATTTCCATTTAATATTATTTAATTAATCGTCCTTCTTCTAAATTCATATATTATTTAATTGAAATTACCTTCTTTCGTATCTTAATAGGTATAGATATTTCATAAATTAACGGGTTTTCAACTTTCTTCTAACGATTAACATATATAAAAATAAAAGAATGGAAGAGGGAAGAGGGAAGATAGAAAAAAAAAGAAAGAAGTCGAGTAAAACCATTAATTTCTCAGTGGGAGACTCTCGACTTTGCAGCTCTGAAAGTCTTTTACTCCCCCTTCACTCCAATTTTCTTCCCTACTTTCGAAGATGGATTTTAAGCAGGGGATTGGAAAAACCGAGTCAGACGAATACGTTCAAGGATCAACGAGTAGGTGTACCGTCAAATATATATATCTATATATATATATATATATATTGAAAAGTATTCATCCTCTCGTTCGACCATGGACTCTCGTATAAATTTTCAACCGATGTGTATATTTACTTTATTATTTATTAACAATAAAGGGGAAGAATATGTATATCCTTTTTTTTTCCTTTTTTAAATATTAACACGGGATTTTTGACGATATCGATTGAAACGAAAACAATATATATATAGTTTCCATGTATTATAAAATATAATTATAATAAATAACAGTTTAGTAATAGTTTAGAAATTTAAACGCGTCAACGTTAGAGATATTAATATATTATAAAAGATGCAAGGAAGAAAAGAATTGAAAAAAAAAAAATAATGTATTTGGAAAAATATGGAATACGTTCGTAACGGTAACGGAGCTAATTTCAACGAGACGTGACAACTTCAACGTCATTTCACAATTCTTTTGACTATTTCTACCATATCATAGAAACTTATAAAGAAGTTCAGATATTGTGAAATATGATGAATCGTATATCAAAAAAAATTACTAGGAAGTACAAACGAACGAGTAGAGTAAAAAAATCAAATATCTCGTAACTTGATTCGGTGGAGTCCGAAAACGTGAACGAAAAACAATCGTAACGCGAGCGTTTTTAATAAATCAAATAAAACAAAAAAAAAAAGAAACTATTTATTCGATTATTTAATCAACGAAATTTAAATGTTAAATGCGCGTTTAATGCTATAGGAAAAACAAATTCAGCGTTTTCTGCTCAATTATTTATATATACACATCCGATATAAATTTTTAATTAATATTACTTATCTATTTTAATATTATTTTTCATCGTAAAAGAAAAAAAAACGAAAAAAAAGAAAGAAAAATAATCTTTTTTATTTATACAGTTCCTTTAATGGAAAGTCCCAGCTTTAGATTCGAGGTAACGTTGATACATAGGGAAAGGAGACAAACGCATAAACGCGAAGCTAACGTGCGTTACCATATTCTCGTGAAATTTTTTATAAACCCGTTCGCCTTTCGAAACACACAGAAATAAGCGAACCACCAGCAGCACCAGTACCAACACTACGTACCATTGTAATTCTCAACGGCTCAATTATCTCTCTAATACTCATTCCTTTTTCTTTTCGGTATACCTATGCATGTACATACATAGGTTACCGTTGGTCGTATTTGAATAATAATCCCCAGATCGACCAACTTGCGAGCTTCTTCATCGTGGTCGGGCTGATTAAAGCAAACGACCGAGAGTCACTGAACCAACCTTGGGGTACATTTCTACTTGCACACACGTCTTATCCTTTACGTGCGATCTCTCAACGTAAAGGATAAAATGAAACTCGCAAGAAACTAGAGTATATATATATATATATATATATATTTATATATATTACACATATATAATACATACACGTATACTTCTATGAAAGTCTCTCTAACGTTGACCTTTAATAAGTATCAAAAACTTTTCCAGAATATTCACGTCCAAGACCCCCGCGACTCATCTAAGCTTCATTGACAACATATTTTCATCGTATTTTTTCATTTCTTTTTTTCCTTTCTTTAACTTCGCTAACCGACTGTAGACATTTATTAATTTAATCTTTTTTTTTTCGTCCATCGGTCGTACGAGCTCAAGCGAAATGAAAAAATTCGTCACTTTACCAGACTCAAACCATCCCACCTCACCCCCACTACCATTCCCATTCCAATACAGAATGAATATCTTTTTCCTTTACGAGTTCCTTCCAACTGAAGTTCACTTCTGAGATAGTTGGCGATTTAATTCAATCCGTTAAATGAAAAGGTGAAGAGAGAAAAGAAGAAGAAAAAAAATGTATCCTATATCTCATTAATTATCAGCAGAACTAGGAGGAGAAAAAGAGAGAGAAAGAGAGAAAGGAAGAAAGAATGAAAGAAAAAGATAGACAGTTTGGAAAAGTTCACCGAAATGGAAGCTTCTTCGACTGTTAGAACGAGTGGACATCCTTAAGGTTATTTAGTCTGTTGACCTCGTTTAACCATCCTAAGTTAAAAGAGAAAGGAAAAAGAAGAAAAAAAAAAGAAATAAACTCGAAGAGAAAAATCCTTATATCCGTAGGAATTGAGAATATTTTTTTCCTCACTGTCGGACGATGAGCTATGAGATGATGATGATGGGGAGGGGTGGAGGGGGGAAGAAAGGAAGGAAGGAAGGAGGAAAAGAGAAAGGCGACTCTACTGCCATTCGCTTGATTAATTAGCAAAATTATAGGAGCAGAATGAAAAACCGAATACACTCGTCTTTTGAGAATCACTCGACGTTTTTCCTTTTTTTCTTTTTCCTTTTTTTTTCTATTTCTTTTTTTTTTTTTTTTTTTTTTTTTTTTTTTTAGTCTTTATTCGTAATTACCGTCCCAACGAATCAACTGAAATGTTTAAGGCGATGAGTGCACTTCATCCTCGGTGGGCTCCAATTAGACACGGAAACTCGCACTGAAAAATGTTAACTCGTCTACGACCACACCCCCTACTCCCATCCCTATCCCCATCACCTATTCATTTTTTACTATATACATTTTTGAATTTTGTTTTGTCTTTTCTTTTTCTCATTCTACACGCGACCTGTTTGTATCGTTGAATCTTTTGACATTTTACAATCGTCGTGTAACAAACATCGTAATTACATTGTAATTAACGTTACATTGTTATTAAATTCATTATTAGATTTTTTTTTTTTTTAAGTATATTACTTTATATAGTCTTTATCATAAATTTCTCCTACGTATTTTGAATATTTATATCGGAGCTTGAATATTATGTATTATATATATATGTATTTGTATAAAATATGAAATATACTTATACACGAATATTATTTATTTTGTAAATGGTAGATATCCCGTAATGCTATCGTCGAATTATATCGTTCTCGTTTTATTGCGATAAATATATATATTTTTTTTTCAAGCGCATTATAGATCTATACAATAAACTAATTATTCTAATCATAATGAGAGTCCTACAAATCACACCTGGATAGAAATACGTAACTACCGCGTGTGAACTACTACTACACAATGACAATTAGCAACGATATAAGTTAATTAACGGGTAGCAAGTTTAGCTACTACTCGATATCCAACGGATACTCATATTTCAGGATAATCATCAATTTTTCTCTCATTCCGTGAAAACTCTCTGTGTATAGAGGGAGAAAGTAAAAACGAAATTTGTACGACGAATTAGTCGTAGTTGAAATAAAAAAGTAATAAAAAAGAAAAAAAAAAAAGAAAAACGAACGATGGTAATTTATACCACGTTGCGATAGCACCGCGGATGATTCCTTGATAAAAGTTTTGGAATTTTCGTTTAAAATCACTCGAGCTTGGAGCCATTAACGTTAAGAGAGTAAGTTAAATAACTGGCTGCGGTTTTAGTACTTTAAACACACTTATTCGTAGAAACCAGCCAAACAATTGGGGAAAAGATATAAATCAATGTAATAGGTAAAAAATTCTTTCACGTGAATAGTAAATAACTGAAGGAAGGCAGGGGTAAAAAAGAAATTTTCGTTTGATTTTTATTTTTTCTCCCACGCTACCCATCCACACCTCACTACACCACCCCACCCGCCCCCCCCCCCTCGCATTTCCTCTTTCGGAAATAACTAATTAAAAAACTTTACATGATTAAATATTATAGAATTTACATAAGCATTCCAAGAGATGCTTTTAATGAACGAACGAAGGTAAGAAGAAATTCTAAAATTGTCGTCTCTTCCTAAAAATGTGATATTTTGAAAGTTTATTTTAAAAATAAAAAAAAAAAAATAAAATAAAAAAGCGAACTCTGAAAATAAGAGAACGATACGGTCCGAGTACTTAATCAAATTTCTACGATGGAGAAAACATCTAGTGAAGATTCTATTACGACCTCGCTTATAATTATATTAATTTAAAAGTTTAAATTACCTTGTATCCTGCCAGATCCTGTACGATACACGACAGCATAGCTTCCCTACCGACGGGGGCAGTCACGTTGACAATTGGTTCCTTAAACTTTGGATCTAAAATAAGGAAAAAGTATTTATCAAGTTATTTCCAATATTTCTTTACTCTCGTTAAAAGTATGATCAAACAAATATGTAATAAATATTAATTATTAAATGTATATTTATTGCGTAATATATATATTTTTTATTCAATTATCTTTTCATCCTTTACGTAGTAACAATTTTATCACAAAATAAAAAATAATTGCGATAGGAATATAAAATTGAATGAAGAAATACAGAAAAATAGGTAGTTGGAAAAAAGATATTAATAATTATTAATGAACTCTATTTGTATTAAGAATATGTGTATACGTTCTTAAGCTCTAACCGATCAATTTTGAATCATAATCATACTGGTATATTTATTTATGGAAAGTGAAAATTGAACGGTCGTTTGATTTGTAGAAGAAAAAAAATGTATCACACTACTTTGAAACAAAAAAACAAATGAAAATTAAACTAGGATGATAATAACCCCCCCCCCGCCGCCGCCCCCTCTTTATCGTCGTACACGTTGAACTCTGCATAGAGAAATATATGTCACGGTAAAATATTAGATCGAATCAAAACGAAGATTCGAAAAGATAAGTATCCTTCGAAGCGAGAAAAAAAAAAAAGTTAATACTCGATGTACCGTAACTCGTTGGTCCTGCAAAGGGTCAGCGTATGTCTTTGGAGGTCGAAAGCAGGATCGGGACACGTAGGTTGACTATAACGGTGATTGTTTGCAGAGGACATAAAATAGCGATCTGCCATTGAGGGTAGAGCGGAACGAAATCGAGAGAATGAGAAGATAAAAAGATAAAATGAGAGATAGATAGATACGGTAAAAGAGAATGCAAGAGGTGGAACGTGTCACGGATGGATTCGTAATGGAAGAAAAATAGTGGGGAAGGATGGCAGGGGTGGTGGTGTCAGTAGGAGTAAAAAAAAAAAGAAGAACAATTCCAGTATTGTACAATGAGAAATAATAATAGAACCTTATGCAATATTTCACTATCTGTTTCAAGATTTACCTTTACATACAGATATATATGTAATTTTCATTTATTCACACGATACCGTGTGTATTTTATTCTTATCAAAATATTATATTACGTATTTATATATTTGCTAAATTAAATAATTTGGAAGTGAAAATAATTTAATAAATTATTATACGTTATTATAGGAGGGTCTTTGACAAAATCTCTTTTGGAAAGATGAAAAGCATACGCAATAATGCAATAATACACACACACACACACACATATATATATATTGATGCATTCAAGCGTACCGTCAATTGAGCAATACGATCTAATGCTTTGATCTTATTGATATAAAACTTGAACAGGTTGTTGATTGTACTGCGTGACCCAGTCAAATAATTAATTATGAATTTCTGAACTAACCTTATATTCGCAGTATCAATTCAAAAATATCATACACGTACGTAGTTTTTAATTTAAAATGAACAATATTGCATATCAATAACTCTGTATTTACTGTAATACGAGAAGAAAAAAATATAATAAAAAGAAAATGAAAGCAATACAGTCGCTAGGTTTTAACCATTGTATTTTTTATTGCATATATATATACGTAGGTATATATGTATGTACATATATAATATATAAAGACTTATCTATCCATCGTTATATGCAAACAAATCTCGCAGGAAATTCGAGTATATTAAGACTCCTCCGATCCAAATGATTTGATGGATTGACTCTTTTTCATTCCATCTAGTTTTTTTTCCCCCATTTTTTCATAACGTACCAACCGAATGAACCATCCGAGGGCACGCAAAAGAAAATGTGTTCGTTCTCCGTCAAAAGTGTCGAACGTCCACGAATGACGTATCGGCGTTACGAACCCAAAACTAAAAAACCGATGCGTCTCTGATAAAGAGTTTCGTTTTTAAATGTATCAAACATGGGAGGGAGGGATATAGGGAGGAGGAGGAGAATTGGACTCACGAGAACTATTTTATACAACTAACGATCCGTTAAATCTGGAACATATCATAACTCTACGAACAAAAAAAATTGTTTCCGTGATTTTTGTTTGGATTTTGTTTTTTTTTTTCGAAAAATTTACGAACACGACATTTATGTTAAACATATATTTTTTCTACCGATTTAATAATTGATAAAATATTAGTAAAACGTTTTCAACTTCTACGCGATTATCTATTAATAAAAAAAAAAAAAAGTTACGATACGAATATTGTCGAGTAAAAGTTATTCGATTACGTATTTAAATTTGCGTACCTGAAATACTGAAACGTAAAATGAAAATTTTATTCGCAAGACAAATACGTATATTTCTAAATTAACAAAATCGAGCTTTCACGAATGTTAAAATATTATATCTAGTTATTCAACATGTTGTATGTAACTTCGTAGTTATTAATTTATATAACTTCAGGTATTTTAACAGACATCTATTAAGGTTTTATCATTAAGAATATCCTATTCTAAATTTCTACAAAACTGTTTAAAAATGTACGATTGATTAATTGAAATTTTTTTTCCTCTCGATAATTAATAAAAGATATGTCTGAAAGTAGTAAAATATTTGAGCGTTTTGATAAATGAACAAAATCTCGACGGGATAGTTGAATAGTCCTCGAAATGCATGAATTAAAACATTTATAATAAGAAAAAAAAGAAAAAAGAAAAAGAAATAAATACATAAAATTACATTTTGTACTATATTATTTATGTATTCAAGAAACGACGGTCTAAAATGGCTGAATAAATTAATCGAATTCGCGTTATAAGAAAGCGAGATAGAATGGAAGTAAAAAAAAGGGGAAACAAAAAAAAGAAAAAACAGATTAAATTTTGAATGAAACTTAAAACCAAATAAAAGACTATCCCCCGCCGAGACTTTTGGTCCCGTACGACTGGTTAATTAATTGTAATTACTTCGAATTTGAAATAAAACGATCAAGGGAGAAAGAAAAATAACGGAAATCAATCTTACGATCGGATTAAAGAAAATTACGATGTACTAGTGAACTTGTGTGGTTGTTTCGAATATACAATAGAAAAGATAGTTAAAAAAAGTTTCGAGCCAAAAAGAAAATTAATTAATGGTTTATATATAAATGAAGAAGATAATCTAATATATATTACACATTATTGTTTTGTACATTATTTTCTTTTATATGTTAATTTGTTGCCTTGGAAAATTGATATTTACGTAACGGACCTATGCAAAATAATACCAACCTGGAAAGACTCTATCTCCTCTTCTCTCTATACCTTTTTCTTTAAACACATTTATTTACCTATCTTTTTTTTTCTCTCCCTCTCCTTCTCTCTCTCCCTCTCCCTTTCACGAGCAAGCATGCGGACAAAATCTCGACGTTTTTTCAATTAATCCTTTTTCACGAGCTCGCCGCTAACAAGATTCATTGTTTTCTCTACGTGCCGTCTAACCATGAATCCACCATGCTGTACGTTCGCCGCGTTGTCTATCCAATTAGCAGTCGCAAGCATCCTTTAATCGAGAAACGAAGTTCCCAGTTAAAAAGGGACAAGACAATAAACTCGTTGAATTGTTCCTATTTTCTTTTCTTTTATTTATTTATTTTTTTCTTTTCTTTTTTTTTCCAAGAACGAACTTACTATCGTAAGAATTCAAAGTTGTGTTTGTAAAAAAATTGACTTATTTTACGTTCCTTTTAATCTCATTTTTTTTCTAATTGGAGGAGACAATTTTTCCCTTTTCTTCCTTTCTTTCTTTCCTTCCTTCCTTCCTTCCTTCCTTCCCACGTCATATAAATACGTATCACAACTTATTTCGGATTAAAAAAAAAGGGAAAATTGATTTCATTGAAAAACAACAAAAAATCTATTTTACCGAATCTTGCGTCTCTCTATCTATCTATCTATCTATCTATCTATCTATCTATCTATCTATCTATCTATCTATCTATCTATCTATCTATCTATCTATCTCGATGGAAACTTTATCGACATATCGTATGCGTAAAATATTCAAAACGTATCCGCAAGACGTATCCAACAAGCACATGGTCGTTCGATGAATCGAATCCATATATACATATATATATATATACGCTACTTGTTTTCTCTGTACTCTCTTCCCCCCCCCCCCATCAAAACAGAATCTATACAAGTATCATTTAAAAAATTATATAAGTATAAATAAAAAATATAAAGCATTACGATATAACGTTGACAATGAATCGAGTATGTAAATCTAACTTTTGTTCAATTGCGACTATAATTATCAATGTTATTAATATTAAACGTTTCTATTTTATCTATTAAAGGTTTTTATTTATATCTAGATAAATTGACGAATTAATCAAAATTCTTCGGGAAAATACACGCGAGTTTTACATACGTCGTTTCATTTCCTATCGGAATTGTTTGTATTCCATGAAAACGCGTAACGCAAACAATACCTATATACGAGAAAAAGAGAAGAAAAATAAATATAGAAAGAGAGAGAAATATAGAAGAAAATATTTCGGACAAAACGTAATTAACAGATATTATCGAATTTAATTATTTTCCCCGTAAAATATTGCATCAATTTTTATTTGTAATTTTTGACTTTTAATCGTAACGAAATTATTGTCATTGTTTAATGTGACTTTTTACAAAAATGTATAACCTTCTCAATGGTGTGTATACCATTTCGATAAGATTGGAAAACATGAATACATTTTCTAGCAAATATTTCGGTATCTACAATACTATATACAAAGTAACTGCAATATTTCGCACGAGAGAAAGGAAAGAAAACGAAATAACTTTAATACACAAGATTGGATTCTAAGAGTTCGCGGTAAAGTTATATATTTTTCGAAATGGATTGAAATCAACGTTACATTGATGTCCTAGTCTATGCTACTTGCATCTTTTCGTTTTTCTTTTTTTTTTCTTTCTTTCATACTTTTCATCACTCACATCCACCCTCTCTATCTATCTCTTTCCTTCTTTCTTTCTTTTCATATAATCCGCGAATAATAATAATTTTTTTCTCTC